CAAGGCGAGTGCTCTACCACTTGAGCTACCGCGCCACTTCCGGTTTTCTAGTGGTTTATTGGAGATAGGAGTCTCACGGTCTTTCCTGCCCTGGCTGGCTTTGAACCGCGATCCTCAGATCTCAGCCTCCTGAGTAGCTAGGATTACAGGCGTGAGCCACCAGCGCCCGGCTCCCTTGTGAAGCTTTTATCTCCAATTAAGTACCAGACAACTGGAAGTAGTGTTGTGGCTCAATGTTGTAGAGTGCTATCCTTGAGCAGAAGAGTGCCAGGTCCTGGGTTTAAGCCCCACAACCAACAACAACAAATAAATGATTTGGATGAATGGGGCTGGGGATGTATGTAGCTTAGTGACAGTTCTTATCTTGCATTCTGGAAGCCTTGGGTTCACTCCCTGGGTGTGTGTGTGTATGTGTGTCTGTCTGTCTGTCTGTCTCATCTGTCTCTCTCATACAGTGGATAATGGACACTTGTGGGTGTTTAATAAAACTGTGTATTGTGTTTCATATGTGTGCATACTGCAGAGTACATGTGTGTCCTTGGGTCATTCCTGTTGTATGTCTGTTGGCGTCTTCTGACTCCTGTGTGGAACAGAAAGCTCTAGGATCTGAGGCACTCCACTCTTGCGTGCATTTGTTTTTTTTTTGTATTTCTAACCAAGTGCTACACATACCTGCAGTAGTGTAAAACATGTTTTGGGAACTCATAAATACACAGTGAATTTAGGTTTTTAAACATGTTCTTTTTTTTTTGTCGGTGGTGGGGCCTGAGCTCTGGGCCTGGGCACTGTCCCTTAGCTCTTCAGCTCAAGGTTAGTACTCTACCATTGAGCTACAGCGCCACTTCCAGCTTTTTCTGCTTATGTAGTGCTGAAGAATTGAACCCAGGGCCTCATGTATGTGAGGCAAGCGCTCTATCACTGAGCCAACTTCCCAGCCCCTAAACACATTCTAATATGAAAAAAACTTGGGATGTGGAAGGTAAGAGATCACTGAACTAAATTTGTTTTTCAGAATTAGTGGCTGAAGCTTCACAGCTATAAAGCTTGTGAGCACAAAACTCATTTGCTAGTAAACTTTGAACAGTGGTGTTTCCACATGCAAGGCCACTATAGAGCTTAGAGACAGCAAGTCAAAGTGGCCTCCTACCTTTCACCTTGACCAAACGTTGAGTCTTGCCCTTTGTTCCCAACTAAAACCATCCTTCCTAAAGCTTTCCTTGTAGACCTCATCCAGTGACAGTGTTTCGAAATGATTCATTGGTGATAGATACCACTTCCTGCCAATATCCATCCTCCTGGTCCCTTATGGCCATGCTTTTCCTTTTCCTTTAAAGGTGGGGAATCACTTTTCTTCTTAGGGACCTACAGACTTGCTATCAGTTTTCCCAGTCAAGTTAATCTTCTTTCTCTGCCCCATTATCGTGTCCATTGGTGCAAGAGAAAAAGTTTCACAGGGTGGACCTGAGAAAGAGCAGTGCGGATTCATTATCATCTCTATTTTGACCCTTGGGGTTTAAGCCAAAGGATGTAATTATGGATTCTTCTGCACCCCGCCCTCATTCTAGATTGCTTTCCTGGCCTCCTGCTTCCCTCTGTATCTGGATACTGAAAATGAAAAATTTTACCTCACCAGGCATATCAGTAATGAGAATACTTGTAAAATTTACTATATAGGCTAAGGAGAATACTGACTGTCCTTTTCTGTGTGTGTTTACTTGTAAAGGTTCAACTGTATCTAAGATGTATGGTGCCTCAAAGACATTTGGAAAACCTGCTGGGACGGGCCTCTCACACCCTTCTGGGGGAGCACAGGCCAAAGTCGTGCCAATCGCCAGCCTCACCCCTTACCAGTCCAAGTGAGTTGTTGGCCAAGTGCACAGTTACCATGGGTTCATGAAAGGGTTCCTTACTTTTTTCTTTAATTTCTATTTTAAAAAAAGAAGAAAAAGTGAAAGAAAGAAAGAGAGAGAGAGAGAGAAAAAAAGAAAAGAAAGAAAAAAGAAAGAAAAAGCAGGGTGAAGTGGCTTACAATGATAATCTAACTACTTAGGAGGCTGAGATTTGAGGATTGAGATCTGAAGCCAGCCTGGGCAGGAAAGCCCATGAGATTCATCTCCAATTAACCACCAAAAAAACTGGAAGTGGCACTGTGGCTCAAGTGGTAGAATGCTTGCCTTGAGCAGAAGAGCTCAGGGACAATGCCCAGGCCCAGAATTCAAGCCCCAGGACGGAGCTAAAAAAAAAAAAAAAAAAAGAATGGAAAAGCCTGGTGCTGGTGGCTTGTAATTCTAGCTACTCAGGAGACTGAGATTTGAGGATCATAGTAGAAAGCCAGCCCAAGCACACAAATCTGAGAGACTCTTATCTCCAGTTAGCTAGCAAAAAGCTGGAAGTAGGGGAGTGGCTTATGTTAGAGCAACAGGCTAGAGTGAAAAAAACAAGAGTGTGAGGCTCTGATTTCAGTACTGGCACCCAAAAAAAAAAAAAAAAGGAAAAAATAGCAATGTGGTGTAGCCAGTAGGTTTCCATACTTTTAGAAAAATTTAAAATAAAAACATACTGCTTAGAAACTCAATTGATAAGCTCATGAATAAAAATAAATATTTGCTCATTCAGAAGCCATTTCATCTCATGTACATAAATGACTCAAAGTCTAAAAGTTGTTACTGTGATTTAGTTTGACTAAGATAATCTGTGCTATTTATATGAACCACATTAGTTATGTCCCAAATATGTATTTCTTTTATATCAGGGTTTTTTTTTTTTTCATTTAATCTTAGACTGTTAGAAAATAGTGATGTGGGGGACAGGGTGAGATCCTGGGCCTGGGCACTGTCCCTGAGCTTTTGTGCTCAGGACTATTGCTCTCCTACTTGAGACACAGCTCTATGTCTAGCTTTTTGGTGGTTGAATGGGAGAGTTAAGAATTTTCCTGCCCAGACTGGCTTCAAACCATGATCCTCAAATCTCAGCCCCCTCAGTAGCTAGGCTTACAGACAAGAGCCACTGACATCCAACTAGTGAGTTCTTTTTTTCAGTATTCTTTCAGGTATATTTTTATTCATTCTTCTAGTACTTAGCTGTATAGGGATGATCATTTCCTGTGAAACTGAAGTAAGGTAACCAGTGTGTCCAGCACCTACCCTCAGGATGGGCATAGACCTGGACCTTGGTTCTCGAGCCTCCTTTTTCAGTGGCCTCTAAGGTCATACGGCATTAATGTGTTTTTCTTTAATGGCCCACAGGTGCCATGTTCTGTATGTAGGTTCATACTCTGCATGCATTAGAAATTTTCCAAGACAGAAGTTTGACATTAGTTATATCATTTCCCATAACTGAAAATAGTGACAAAATATAATTACTGGTGTAACTGGGTTTTTGGTTTTTTTTGTTTTTTTAAAAAAAGCTTAGAGCCTTTCATTAAGGGGATATTGTTGCCTTGGTGATGGTTTTTAGAGAGGGAAGAGAGTTTATAAACTTGCTTATTTGACAGGAGAATGAGTTAGTGTTAAATCACCTTGTACGTTTCACTGTTTGCTTATTCTGTAAACTGTCAAGCCTGAATGTCATCTCAGTCTTTTAATTAGCTGGATTAAAATACAGGTAACTTACAAATGGAGTATGTGTAAGATAAGAAGGACTGTGGGAAAATACGTTCTTACCTGATCTGTAGTCAGGTAAGGAAGACTCCAAACACTTAACGTCCCTTGTTTGTTTTTTAGGTGGACCATTTGTGCTCGTGTCACCAATAAAAGTCAGATCCGTACTTGGAGCAATTCCCGGGGGGAAGGGAAGCTTTTCTCTCTAGAACTTGTGGATGAAAGTGTGAGTATGTGTCAGGTGGGGTAGTCACAGGGCTGGGTTCCAAGAAACAGCCTGGGCTCTGTAGGCTTCTGAGGCCAAAAAGATGAAATCCTTGCATGGTTACTGGAGGGAGAGAGTTAGCCATCATAAATAAGATCTGGGGCTGGGAAGGTGGCTTAGGAGTAGAGTGCTTGCCTTGCATGCATGAGGCACCACATAAGCAGAAACAGCCAGAAGTGGTACTGTGGCTCAAGTGGTAGAGGGCTAGCCTTGAGCAGAAGAGCTGAGGGACAGTGCCTAGGCCCAAAGTTCAGGCTCCACAACTGGCAAACAAACAAACAATAAATAAGATCTGACCTACAGAGTCTTATCTGCTTGCTTGTTTGCCTGCTTTGTTTATTTACTTATTTGTGCCACTATTGGGCTTGACCTCTGGGGCCTGGGCTATGTGTCTTTCCTTTTTGCTCAAGGCTAGTGCTCTACCACTTGAGCCACAGCTCCACTTCTGGATTTTTAGTGGTTAATTGGAGATGAGAGTCTCATGGACTTTTCTGCCCAGAGTGGCTTCAAACAGTGATCTTCAGATCTCAGCCTCCTTAGCAAGTAGGATTGTAGGCATGATCCACTGAGATCCAGATTATCTGCTTTAATTTAAACTAGATAGAACCCTTTTGCTGACAAAACATTTCGAAACTGTCATTGTCATCCCTTTCTTTTTCCTTTTTCTTTTCTTTTTTCTTCTCTTCCTCTTCCTGCTTTTGGAAGTTGGCGTATCACCCCAAATGTTTAATTGTGATGGCAGAGTCAGTACCAGAACCTCATTTTCTACAAATTGTCCATCTAATCTACAGTGGGCTAAATATTTCAACACTTTATTTATTTAAGTTCCTCATCTCTCTCTAACATATTGCCTTGACAGAATAGTAAAAATAAGAATCAGAAGCAACTTGAAAGCATGATTCGTTATAACATTTTTGGCAGCGGCTCCTGAGTGTGAACTCATCCATCATTCAGGTGGCAAGCAGGAGGGAGGCTGCTTGAGTCACCCGTGTTCCTCATAGCCCCGTGGGCTTTGGTCGTGCCACTCAGAATCTGGAACTTGAGGCTTTTATTTATTATCACAATATTAAACCTGTCCTTTGTTTTGTTTTGTTTTCTTTCCATCTTATTTAAATGTGATTACTGGCTTGGCTACTTGACCCTCTCTGGGTTTTTTTGTTTTTTGTTTTGTTTTGTTTTTGGTCATGGGGCTTGAACTCTGGGGTTGGGTATTATCCCTCAGCTCTTTAGCTCAAGGCAAGTGCTCTACCGCTTGAGCCACAACACCACTTCTGGTTTCCTAGTGATTTATTGGGGATAAGAGTCTCATAGACTTTTCCTGCCCTGGCTGCCTTTGAATCATGATCCTCAGATCTCAGCCTCCTAAGTAGCTAGGATTATAAGCGTGAGCCCCCGGTGCCCGGCCCCTCTGTTGTTTTGGGGGAGCTGAAAGTGTGGCTGTAAAATGTGGGTTTCTGGGATGTCTGCTGCAGCCCTCTCACAGGTCCCCTTGTGCCACTGCCCCTGAAATGTCATCTTGATGCTAACATGGCTTGCTTTTCACTACTTAAACTGGGATGCAGAACACCACATTCCTAACCTGCTCTTACTTGCTTCTACAGGGTGAAATCAGAGCTACTGCTTTCAATGAGCAAGTGGACAAGTTCTTCCCTCTTATTGAAGTGAATAAGGTACGTTGGGTTGGTGGAGAACTGACACAGTTGTATGGAACAGTGAGAATAATGGTGGGGGAGAGGGGTCTCATCCATTAGCGTGTTGTATTCCAATAAAGGGATTCTTCACCCCCTCACCCCAATACCAGGATTTGAACTCAGGGCTGTGTGCTTGCTAAGCATATACTCTGCCACTTGAACCATACTCCCAACCTGCCTAAGGAGTTTTTGCATTCTATGTGGTGGACTATCACATCTCATGGCTTGGCCTCTTTTGCAGGTGTATTATTTCTCAAAAGGCACCCTGAAGATTGCTAACAAACAGTTCTCAGCTGTTAAAAATGACTATGAGATGACCTTCAATAATGAGACTTCTGTCGTGCCCTGCGAAGATGATCATCACTTGCCCACAGTTCAGTTTGATTTCACAGGGATTGGTGACCTAGAGAACAAGTCTAAAGATGCACTTGTAGGTAAGTTCAGGCTTGAGGCCAGGAGAGCAGTGGTGGTTAGTTTATTTGCAGTGTATAGGGAGGTGCAAGACTTGCTGTGCTTATCATTTGGCCTTTGATCATGTCGTGAAAGGAACCTTGATCACTCCTGCTAAAGACTTGTGCCTGTGTTTTAGACATACTAGGGATCTGCAAGAACTATGAAGATGCCACTAAGATCACTATCAAGTCTAACAACAGAGAAGTTGCTAAGAGGAACATCTATCTGATGGATACATCAGGGAAAGTGGTGACTGCTACGCTGTGGGGGGAAGATGTAAGTGTTCACACTGAGCAGAAAGACTCCAGGTGCCTTGTCCTGTCCTGAGTTGGCCACATAGGGATAAAGGGTTGAGCTCCCTGGCAATTACTTGACAACTTTTCTATGAGATGTGCTATGATTTCAGCTTTCTGTAGTAAAATGCTCTTCTTTGTAACTCTAGGAAAGTAGTGGTAGATTAGTTGTCATGTTATTTCTGAGCAGATTTAACATGAGTGTGAGGTCTGTCTTATATAGATTTCGCATGCACAGATTAATATGCATTGTACTATTAACTTTTTCTTGGAATTCCTGCCAGTGATACTTAGATGTATTTGGTGTTTGTTTTGTAGGCAGACAAGTTTGATGGGTCCAGACAGCCGGTAATGGCCATCAAAGGGGCGAGAGTCTCTGATTTTGGTGGACGGAGCCTCTCCGTTCTGTCTTCAAGCACTATCATTATGAATCCTGACATCCCAGAGGCCTATAAGCTGCGTGGATGGTAGGTTTTGTGGGGCTAAATCAAATTTGAGTCTGGGCTTTGAGAAGAGCTGGGTACCATCAGTGTAGGAGCTCTCAACCAAGTAGAAGGCTTCCTAACTGAACGGAACAGTTCCTCTTTCTTGGAGGCTTTATTTATGCCTTCTGAGATGTCTTTAAAGCCCTTAAAGTGACAAGCTCGTAATCCCACAACAAACCTGGAGAGTCAGAGAAGGCGATTAGAATGTAAGTGCTGTGTGCTGACCTCGATCCTGCCAAAGCAGGGTACGGAGGGGCTTTAGCAGCAGGGTGATACAGGATGTATGCTGAGGGAATCTTTTGCTGCTATGTTTGAGCTGTGGGGGAAGAATGTTCTTTCTTACTCTTGTGCCTCTGGTGCAGGTCACATCTTCTCGAGTGTATTCACTGTGACTCTGATATAGCAGGGTGGGAACAATGGACTTTTGTTGCCATTATATTGTTATTCTCAAAGCACTCAAGGGATGAGGAGAGCCTGTTAAAAATTTCACCATATCTAGCTTTTGAAGGCATTAAAACTCTGCCTTAAAAAAGCACTTCAGCCTGAAACATGGTATATAAGAATTGATGTGGTCAGGGAAAACACTTTTAACAAGCCCAAGCTTAAATAATTTGTATAGTTATAGTCACATGGGGACGTGTCAGTTTCCAACTGGGTCTTAGGGTTTAAGTGATTCAAGAACAAGCTCGTATTTCATACTCATCATTTCTGTTTTGAGTCTGATGTCAACAAATAGCACTAGTGTTTTAACAGTTTCTAAACCATCTATAGAAGTGTTCATGTCACTTACGCCATCCTTTTATTTAACTATTCTGGAAGCTGGCATGGCATTATCCAGCAGGGCCTATTATAGTCTGACCAGAAATAACCAGGACTTTGGTTTGGTTTTGCTTGGTTTTCTTCCAGCCTTTGTCTGAAGCACAACCCCCAGTTAATTGTGTGCCCACATTAAGGTGTTCATATTTCATTGTCAGTAACTGGATGCCAGGCAACATAAAAAGACATGCCCATCCCCTGAACAAAATAACTTGTCATTGATCAGAGAGAGGTTTGGTGCACACACCCCACGCAGCAGGGATTAGTGATGTTTAGATCTTGGCTCTAACAAAGTAGAATTTTTATTGTAAGAAGGGCTGCCTCTCTCCTTGCTCTGCTGACTCCTGATGAGCTGTCTTTGGTGGCAAATGTCTCCTTGGAGTTTTTGAAACCATAAACTTGTGTAGCTAGTAGCGGTGAAACAGATTTATGGACCTTGCTGTGCCTCGGTGACGGATTTAGCCGCTTACCTGACAGAATGCGAAGGCAATTGTCTGCAGCTTAGGGCAGCATCCATTCTGCTGGATGCTCTGTTTCTAGAAAGCTTGCTCTGTGTGTGGTTAGCTTTTAGATACTCACCATTGCAATGATGTTAGGCATGTTTTTAATCTCAGGCTGACTATTGTCACAAGTATGTCCCTAATCCTCCCTCTCCCTGGCCTTCATGCCTTTCCTACATGTCAACTGATAGGTGGCCAAGAAGTATAATCAATGTTAGTAATAATTTAATACAGATTAATTTGAATTTAATATTGACATAAGTAAAATCTTAATAAGGAGGCAAATCTACAAGAAAATATAGATAATGCCTTCTGGTAGATTGTTTTGGGTTATATAATCAATTGAATTCATGTTGGGCTTAAGTTTTCCACCGTGGAAACTGTTTCCAATCATTTCAGTGAGGATAAAAATACAGCTGCTTGCTCAGCTGGGACTCTTACCACTCGAACCACACCAAGTCTGTGAGACCCACCCATCTCCAATTAACCAACAAAATCATTGGATTGGAGGTGTGGCTTATGTGGTGGAACACCTAGCCATGAGCAAAGGCGAGTTCTGAGCTGTAGTACTGATGTACAAGCAAGTGCACACAATGCAGCTGCAACTGAGATGAGCATTAGTAATGCAAAGGACTGTACTAGAGCTCGACATTGTAGCTTACAATTGTTGACTTTCACAGTATTTTTAGGCCTCAATCCTGGCTACTCTTCCTGTGCAGAGGTAGTCTAGGGAAGGGTCTGTGGTACTTTGGCACTGATTGTCTTGACCACTGGGGGGCATCAAAGCAAATGAGATCAAAGGAAAGAACACTTTCTTCCTTAGACTAAGGTAAAACAGAAGATGCTAATTTGAGCTCACATGACAGGATGGATGTGAAAGCTGGTGTGGGTAGATGCCTTTATCTAGTAAGTAGAAACAAGAAGCATGTTTTGAGAAGTATATACAAATCAAGTCCCTATGGTCCTTATTGTTTATTTTTTCAGGTTTGACTCAGAAGGACAAGCCTTAGATGGTGTTTCCATCTCTGATCAAAGGGGTGGAGGAACAGGAGGCAGCAACACCAACTGGAAAACTTTATATGAGGTTAAATTGGAGAACCTGGGCCAAGGTGACAAGGTATTTTTACGTTCTTCACTGTCTCCACAAAAGCATGCAAAAGAGTACAGAGGCCTGAATTTTGAGATCTGGTTAGTGATACCAGCTGTCAGGTGTTCATTCTTACCTGGGACTTTGTCCAGGCCTAATGAACCAATGCTGTCTAACTTTAAAGTGTGTTGTAGCCCTTCCCTGCATTAAGGCAGAAAAATGGGAAGGCTCAGAGGATCTCAAGAAAGTGATTGTGCCTGAGCCCTGTATTATAACTACATTGTAAACTGACTTTGGGTTTACATTATTTTTCTAATGGCTTCTACAAATCACAAATACTTTATTTCTTTTGTGGTACTGCGGTTTAAACTCAGGGCTTTGTACTTACTAGGCAGGTGTTCTACCACTTGAGCCTCAGCTCCAGCCCCTACAAAGACTTTTTTTTCTTTGAGTGGGAAATCATCCAGGCTCAGTGTTCAGCATCAGGCAGTTCCCCATTTGTGTTCTGCGGCCCCCTACAGGTTGGGGGCTGCAGATGGACCCCACTGGGGACTGACTGGTATTTGGCTTTACTTATAGCTTTCCTGTCAGTATGTGTGGGATAACCCTCCCACTGTCTCGACCTAACCTGTGTTCTGTCAATAGGTTAGGTCATTTGAATATTTAAATAAATGGTTTACATATTTAAATCACTTATTTCTTTTATGCGCCCTGATCCCTTGCTGTCAGCATATACAATGCAGGTTTTATTTCTTACTGTCTGATTTCACAGTACATCCCTATCCATCACTGTCATCAACAGAAACTCACAATGCTTTTATAGAGCGTTGTGAGAATTAAACATGGGATAAATCTGTGTTCTCCTGTCATAGGAACAGCCACTCTTCTCATTTTCTTGCCTCCCAGTTTCTCTCTTGATCTAAAGATAGTATGTGATAAGAAATGGGGCATACCAAGTACCTAGACTTTCTGCATGTCTGCACCTAGACTTTCAAGTCATGTCTTGAGTCTGGACCTGACATGGAAATACAGGAAAGCTCCAGGCATTTGCCTAAGAGACTTACTTCTTGTAGAGCCTTTTGTTGTTGGTGGTAGTTATGGGGCTTGAACTCTGGCCCTGGGTGCTGTCCCTCAGCTCTTCAGCTCAAGGCTAGCGCTCTACCACTTGAGCCACAACACCACTTCTGGGTTTTCTGGTAGTTAATTAGAGATAAGAGTTTCACGAACTTTCCTGCCTGGGCTGGCTTTGAACCGAAATCCTCAGATCTCAGCCTCCTGAATAGCTAAGATTACAGGCATGAGCCACCAGTGCTCGGCACTTCCAGCTTTTTCTGAGTAGTTTATTGGAGATGAAAGTCATAGATTTTGGGCTGGGAAGGTGGCTCAGTAGTAGAGCACTTGCCTTGCATGCATGAGGCCCTGGGTTTGATTCCTCAGCACCACATACACTGAAAAAGCTAGAATTGGCACTGTGGCTCAAGTGGTAGAGCACTAGCCTTGAGCTGAAGAGCTGAGGGACAGCGCCCAGGCCCAGAGTTCAGACCCCACAACCGGACCCCCCCAAAAAAAAAGAAAAGAAAAGAAAAAGAAAATCATAGATTTTTCTGCCCTGGCTGCCTTTGAACCACAGTCATCTGATCTTAGCCTCCTGAGTAGCTAGGATTACAGGCATGAACCACTAGTGCCCGCCTTTCTCTAGAGCTTTCTTTTTCTTTTTGTTTTGTTTGGTGGTGCTGAGGTTAGAACCTAGGGCCTTGTGGGTGCTATGTGAGCACTCTACCACTGGGCTACAGCCCTAGCTCTAGAACCTTCTACGCGGGGAAGTAGCCAGATTCTTTTAAGCATTCACCTTGTTTTGTCTCTGAAACCACTGCCTGGATATCAAGTACAAATTAAAACAATTCAGGGAGGCGAAGGACACATGTTTTCTCTTGTATATAGAAGCTAGAAATAATTTATAAATGTATTAACTGAAATACAGTATTTGCAGAGGAGAATTTAAATTTTAATTCCTTAGAAAAACTAACCACAGTACAACAAAACGAAACCAGGAAATAGGTACTTGAAAGGTACAGGAGAAGGTCAAGGGGAGGGGAGTAGCGGAATGAAAGAAAAGGGGGAGAATGCAGTCACAGTACTCCACTCAATGGAGTGGAGGGGTTAGCTTGTTATAGAAGGGGTAAAATGAAGTAAGGGGGTGACATTGATCAAGATGTATTCATAAACTGATTTGTTGAATGGTAACTACTTTGTTCAGCCACTTGAAGATATTTTTTAAAATACAGTAAAAATAAATTTTAAAAGCTCTGGAGACTCAGGAGGGGGTTGAAAGTCAAAACAAATAGCAACAAAAAGCCAAGCACAATTTAGTGCTTTCTAGATTTACTTGTCAGTGATTTCTACACGTCCAAGGCACAGATCCTCATTCATGGGTATTTTTGTGTTCTGATGCAACTGCTTGTTGTTAGTAAAGTTTTATTGGAACAAAGGCGTCTGCTTCCATCTACATGTTGTCTCTTGCCCCACAACAGGGGTTTCTGAGGAATTGAAGAAGCGACTATGACTGAATGGCTTATCGGACCTGAAGCTGAATAATAAATTATCCAGCTAAGTTTCTAGGTTAATGACCTAGAAATCACTGATCTTAGTTTTAGTGTGGGAGTGGGAGGAGTAGTTGATCATAGCTACTCTATATCTTTTATTTACTTATAGATTTTTGGTGGTAATGATGGTACTGGGGCTTAACCTGAGGGCCTAGTTGTTATGCCTTAGTTACCTGCTTAAGGCTGGCATTCGACTACTTGAGTCAGAGCTTCACCTCTGGCTTTTTGCTGGTTAATTGGAAGTAAGAATCTCATGGACTTTCCTGCCCAGGCTGGCTTTGAATTGGGATCCTCAGAGCTCAACCTCTTTAAGTAGCTAGGATTACAGGTGTGAGACACCTGTATACATGTATACATACACACACACACACACACACATATACACACATATATGCATGCACGTTCATAGTAGGGCTTGAACTTAGTGCCTGACACTCTTGCTTGGCTTTTTTATTCATGCCTGATACTCTACCACTTGGAACAATACTTTCACTTTTAGCCTTTAGATGGTTAATTGGAAATGAGTCTCTCAGAGGGGCTGGGAAGGTGGCTCAGTGGTAGAGTGCTTGCCTATTATGTATGAAGCCCTGGGTTCGATTCCTCAATACCACATAAAAAAAGTTGGAAGTGGTGCTGTGGCTCAAGTAGTAGAGCAAGAGAAGCTCGGGAACAGTGCCTAGGCCCTGAGTTCAAGCCTTAGGACTGGCAAAAAAAAAAAAAAAAAAGAAAGTCAGATTTGTCTGCTTGAACTGACTTCAAACCATGATCCTCAGTTGGGTGCCAGTGGCTCATGCCTGTAATCCTAGCTACTCAGGAGGCTGAGATCTGAGGATCATGGTTCAAAGCCAGCCTGGGAAGGAAAGTTCATGAGTCTCTTATCTCCAATTAATCACCAGAAAACAGGAAGTGGTGCTGTGGCTTGAGTGGTGGAGCGCTAGCCTTGAGCTGAAGAGCTCGAGTTCAAGCCCTACAACCGACCAAAAACAAACAAAAAACCCATGAGCCTCACATCTCAGACTTCTGAATATCTAGGATTTAGGCATGAACCACTTGTGCCTGGCTTGAATTAACTCTTAGTAAGAAGGAATTTTGTACCTTAGAATTTGGTTTATTTCTTCCCTGGGTTTGTACGCCTTACATGCTATTTCTGAAACTGCAGAATGAATGGTTCCCATAATCGTTTTGTGAGCTTAGGACAGGCACACATGTAAGTACTTGACATCCGTGTGTAAGGGCAGCTTTGAGCCCCATCTGGTTGGTTCCAGTCCTAAATGCAGGTGTGTTCTCACATTCCCCCTTTCTTATTCTTGTAAAGGCGGACTATTTCAGCTCTGTAGCCACGGTAGTGTATCTTCGCAAAGAGAACTGTATGTACCAAGCCTGCCCATCTCAGGACTGCAATAAGAAAGTGATTGACCAGCAGAATGGCCTGTATCGCTGTGAAAAGTGTGACCGGGAATTTCCTAACTTCAAATACCGCATGATCTTGTCGGTACGTACAGTGGGAGATGAGAAGCTCTGGCATGTTTATTGACTCGCTGTCATATGTTAGGATTACATTAGAAGCACCAAAGCATTTGTGGTGGGGAGCTTGTGGATGAGTGCATGAAGAAGTAAGGACCTTGCACCACCTGAATGACTGTTCTTCTACTAAAAGGGTTTTTTGTTTTGTTTTGTACTGGGTTTTTTGGTTTTTTTTAATCTTTGGGAGCCTGGGCACCATCCCTGAACTTCTTTTGCTCAAGGCTAGCCCTCTATCACTTGAGCCACAGTGACATGTCTAGCTTTTTCTGTTTATGTGGTACTGATGAATTTAACTCAGGGCTTCATTCATGCTAGGCAAGCACTCTACCACTAAGCCACATTCCCAGCTCTTGTGCTGGTCTTGAGAGTTGAACTCAGACTGGCTACTATTCCTGAGCTGCTTTTGTTTGTGGCTAGTGCTCTAGCACTGGAGCCACAGCTCTACTTCCAGCTTTTGGTGGTTAATTGGAGATAAGAGTCTTATGGACTTTGCTGCCCAGGCTGGCTTTGAACCATGATCCTCAGATTCCAGCCTCCTCCTGAGTAGCTAGGATTACAGGCATGAGTCTCTTGGCACCCTGGCCAATTTCCACTCATTCTGTATGGTTACAACATTGGTAGCACTCATATTTGAAATGCTATTTCTGGACAGCAGTAACTGTACTTAGACATCACTTGTATCTGTAAGTTATTTAAGCATATATATCTAGATATACCTATATCTAGTTCTTTTTTTTTAAGGGGTTCATTGTTACTTTTAACATTGGAATGTGAGGTAGTGTTGTGACTTTTTTGCATTGTAAAGATTTTTTTGTTATGGTGGTTTGAATGAAAGGTATACTTTTAGTGATAGTAACTAAACGATAAAGAAAGGGCATTCTTCTGTTTTTCTCGAAAGTGATTTGGCAGTAATATATCAGAAGGCTTAAAAGCATTTATATTTTTTGACACAGTAACCAGCTGGAGGAATTTATTCCAAAGAAATAACCAGAGATGTCACAGCTATGTAAAGCTGTCTGTCACACTGCTGTTTATTTTAGAAGGTTGGATTCAACTCGCTTGTCCCTCCTGCTCTGCTAATTCCTTTGTTGAACAACCATCATCACTGTGAAGGCCTTTGAATTTACCACTTACTATTTGACAGTATTTGAAAACTTTCCTTATGAAGACTATTAAATGACATAAGTAAAGATTCAGACTTTATTCATTCCAGATAGAAAATACTAAAGAGTCTGTTTTCTGTGGTCTTGAGGGATATTCATAGATAGAACCAGACTGGGAGAAGGAATACAAGACCAGATTGTTGCCGGTGGTTATTTCTGGTTGGTTCTTTATTTTCTTCAGTATATTTTTCTATAGTTTCATTTTTTTTTCCGTGCAATGAATATTCTCATAATTAGATGATCTTTTTGTTGTTGTTCTTTTAGTACTGGGAATTGAACCCAAGGCCTCCAGCTTAAAGCAAATGTTCTTGCATTTGGGCCACATCCTTGGTCCTTTTCTTTTTAAGATAGGATCTGAAACTCATGGTCCAACTCCACTGCCTGCCAAGTTGCTATGATAACGAGTGTGCATCACCTCTCAACTCTTGATATAAAAGAAATTTTAAAGAAATATTTTTAGATAAAAGGGATTCAGGGGCAATTGTGGGAAAGTGAAGGATAGAGTGACATTGTCCAAAAAGAATTGTACTCATTACTTGACTTAAGAGAAATGGTAACCCCTGTGTTACAAACCTTAATAACAATAAAAGGATTCCACCTATTCTTTCTAAACTCTAATTGTACTAAATGGTGGGTCACTTAAGAGCCTTTTTTTTTTTAAGGGGGGGGTCAGTCGTGGGGCTTGAACTCTGAGCCTGGGCGCTGTCCATCAGTTCAAGTCAAGTGCTCTACCACTTGAGCCGATATGCCACTACCAGTTTTCTAGTGATTAATTGGAGATAAGAGTCTCACAGGACTTGCCTGCCCACACTGGCTTTGAACCAAGATCCTCATATCTCAGCCTCCTGACTAGCCAGGATTACAGGTGTGAGCCACCAGCGTCCAGCTAAGAGCCTTATTTTTTGTGAGCTATAAACTTTTCATTCAACTAAGATGAAGGAAAGCATTTTAGATAGTTAATTCCGCGGATCCTCAGTAGTGGAATTCCCTTCCCAATTGTTTTATTTGAACATCTGTATCTGTGTCTGTGTCTCTGCTATTCTTACCTGTTGATAGATGCTCGGGACTGGTGGTTCCAGTATGTGCCACCATTACCTTGAGTTTGTCAGTGCTTTTAACTTTTCTTGTCACCTTATTTCCATAACATTGTATAGTCAAATCCCCATGAACTTGAAAAACAAAATTGTCAAAATGAAGCCTTTAAAAACAACCATCACCCTCTTTTTTTTTTTCTTTTTTTTTTTTTTCTCAGTCATGGGGCTTGAACTCTGGGCCTGAGCGCTGTCCCTCGCTGATCTGTTCAGCTCAAGGCTAGTAGTGCTCCACCACTTGAGCCACAGCACCACTTCCAGTTTTCTGGTGGTTTATTGGAGATAAGAGTTTCATAGCCTTTTCTGCATGGGCTGGCTGTGAACCATGATCCTCAGATCTCAGCCTCCTGAGTAGCTAGGATTACAGCGTAAGCCACCAGCGCCTGGCCGTCACCCTCATTTCTATACTGCCTTTTACTCAGCAACTGAATTTTTGAAAATCTGCTTTCTGTCTTTATCCTTCCCAATTTAATTTTATACCATATGCACAGTTGGGGACATTTGATTGCCCATTTCTACTGCTAGGTGGATTCAGTGGCTGGCAAAGACCCTTTAGCACTGGTACTGAAATTGTTTGGGATGTTCAGTGGTGATTTAGAGCCATCAGGGAGCTCCTTGTGTGTGGCAGGAAAATAAATGCACAATTTAAAATGCCACGAACAAGCACCAAGTGTGGTGACATATACCTGTAATCCCAGCACCTGGGATACTGAGGCAGGAATATCACAAGTTCCAAGCTAGCCTGGGCTCTTATGATAAGATCCTCCTCTCCCCCCCCCCAAAAAAAAAGAAGTAAAAATAAAAATCAAATTCAGTGGACCTACCCTGACAGAGCTTATTCAAAATCTTTAGGGCAAAATCTGTTGCATCTGGAGGGGTGCTAGATCTAATATGCCTGGATTCTGCCTCTGTCTCCACGTAGATCTGAAATCACACATCCACCCAATTACTTTTTAAACCTGTTTCATGATCTCTGTCACCATTTTTAGAAAGGATGTAGTTCACATGCCCAGTAACCCCATTATAAGTTGAAGGTGTAGGTAGAAAGTTTGTTTTTTTTTTGTTTTTTGGTTTTGGGGTTTTTTTTTGGGTCCGGTTGTGGGGCCTGAACCCTGGGCCTGGGCGCTGTCCCTCAGCTCTTCAGCTCAAGGCTAGCGCTCTACCACTTGAGCTACAGCGCCACTTCCCCGGCTTTTTTTTTCTGCTTATGTGGCGCTGAGGAATCGAACCCAGGGCCTCAAGCATGCAAGGCGAGCACTCTACCACTGAGCCACCTTCCCAGCCCAAGTGGAAAGTTTAATACGCATAACCTACTAACCGTCTTGCCTTGCCTACATTAAGTGTGATCAGAGCACCTGCATAGCCTACAATTGGGCAAAATCCTCTGGCATAAAGCCTGTTTTATAGTAAAGTGTTGAATGTCATATGGCAATACTAAAAGTAAAAACCAGACTGGTGGGGAGCATGTGCTTTTGCATACTGAGGGAAAATCATGAGGACAAGCCATCAGTCATCAGGGGCCTTATGTATATAGGATGATAGTATATTGTCATGTGGAAGTTACTTTAATGAGTGAAGTCTTCCTTTTATTATGCGTTTGTTGCGATAACAGAGTTGTGTTTGTTCTTAGGCCAATATTGCCGATTTTCAAGAGAATCAGTGGGTGACTTGTTTCCAGGAGTCAGCTGAAGCGATCCTTGGACAGAATGCTGCTTACCTTGGGGAACTCAAAGAGAAGGTCAGCCACATACTTCACCATAGTTTATAAACTCTCTGCTTAAACTCTGAATTTATTGATTTGTTTGTGCCAGCACTAGAACTTGAACTCAGGGCTTGGGCACTGTCCCTTAGCTTTTTCTGTGCAAGACTGGGACTCTACCACTTGATCTACAGTTCTACTTGTGGCTTTTTTGCTCGTTAATTGGAGATGAAAGTCTCACGGACTTTGCTGCCTGCACTGGCTGCTGGCTTTAAACCACAATCCTCAGATCTCAGTCTCCTGAGTAGCTTAGGATACAGACATTTTTTTTAATTACCAGGCTGTCCATCAACCACTATTCTCTAGTCTCACCTCCCATGTGGCAAGGATGACAGGCTTGAACCCCAGTACCCAAGTCATTTTGTTTTTTATCTACTAGATTGATTTAATTGAGAAAGTAGGGATAAAACAGCTAAAAGCTGTATTTTCTAGGCCATGAAAATTGGGACCCATTTATACACAGTGTTCTTTTTTCCCCATTTCCTCCAAATTGGTTAGGCCACAGAGAAATAAGAATTGGCTGCTGGTATTTTTCTTACTCTTTTCTGTCCTCAGTTCTGTCTTGTTGGTTCAGTTCATAAGATCTCTGAAAATTGTCTCAACCAAGTCCTTTTGTAGAAATAACTGGAATTGACTTTAAATTGTGATAGTATCTTTTATCTATTTTGCTTGGTCCTCTATTTTCCTATCAGATTTTAAGGCCAAAGGCAGCCTTTCAGGATTTTTTATGGGCTTATTATATTTGGCTGTTCTGTCGACTGGTGAATGAGGAAGTGCAGAAACTTCCCTCAGAAACCATCATGTTCTTGGAGTGTGCATCCATGCTTCCCTAATCTGTAAGAATAATGGCAACTCACATAATTTTTCAAAGGTTTAATACATTATTTATATATTGAAAATCCATAGAAAGATTTTTTGGGGGGTTTTTGTTTGTTCTGTCAGATAACTTCTATTTTAAAAAAAAGTCTCTATGATAGAACCATTTGCATGCTACATAGTGCTTGCCAAATACTTAGCTTAGCTGGGCATGGACGAATATATTTGCCTGTAGTCTAAGCTACTCAGGAGGCTGATGCAGGAGAATCACAAGTACAAGGTGGCCTGCCTGATCTACTTAGCAAGTTTAAAGCAGCCTGGACAGCTTAGTGATACCTTGTCTCAAAATTAAAAGAAATTACCTAGCCTATACAAACCACTAGGTTTTATCCTCAGTACAAAAAAAAAAAAAAATGGCCAGGTGCTGGTGGCTCATGCCTGTAACCTTATCTACTCAGGAGATTGAGATCTGAGGATTGTGGTTCAAAGCCAGCCCAGGCAGAAATGTCCATGAGACTCTTACCTCCAAATTAACCCCCCAGAAAAATGGAAATAGCACTGTGGCTCAAAGTGGTACAGTGTTAGCCTTGAGCAAAAGAGCCCAAGGACAGTGCCTAGGCCTCAAGTTCAAGCCCCATGACTGATCAAAATAAATTGATAAATTAAAAATGAAAATAAAGAATTTATGAACTATTTGTTTTATATGTGTATTATCACTGTTAAGTTTTTGCATTTTATGTAAAATGCATTCTCTGCTGTAGGCATAGCTCAGTGGTAGCACACCAGCTTAGCAAGTATGAGTACCACAAAAAAATATAAATACATAAGTAAAAATGATTCTCTAATTCCTCCTGTCTTCCCCTCCCTCCCCACAGTCCTGGGGCTTGAACTCAGGCCTGGGCACTGTCCCTGAGTGTTTTTTGCTTAAGAGTAGCACTCTTCCACTTGATCTACAGCGCCAATTTCAGTTTTTTCTGTATATATGGTACTGAGGAATTGAACCCAGGGCTTCATGCATTCTAGGCAAGTACTCTCACTAAGCCACATTTCCAGCCCTACTGTCCTTGTTAATAACGGAACTTCCATAGTCTTTGAAAAGTAGGAGGCAGAGAGGGGACTGTGTTTCTTGACCTTCTCTGACCTTGACCCACTCCACTTGTTTCTTTTTCTTGCTCCCTGAGTCAATAGCTTTGAGGCTGAAATAATGAGTAAGCCTATAACAATTTTACTTTCCTTCCTTCCTTCCTTCCTTCCTTCCTTCCTTCCTTCCTTCCTTCCTTCCTTCCTTCCTTCCTTCCTTCCTTTCTTTCTTTCTTTCTTTCTTCTTTCTTTCTTTCTTTCTTTCTTTCTTTCTTTCTTTCTTTCTTTCTTTCTTGGTCTGGGCACTGTCCCTCAGCTCTTCAGTTCAAAGCTAGTGCTCTGCCACTTAAGCCACAGCGCTACTTCTGGCTTTTTCTGCTTAGGTGGTGCTGAGGAATCAAACCCAGGGCCTCATGTATGCAAAGCAAGCACTCTACCACTGAGCGACCTTCCCAGCCCAATTTGACTTCTCTTAAAAGTATTTTCCTACCTGTTAGGTGAAGCCTACTGGGTCTCAGATCATTTCATTTAGAATCTTAGAATAGTATTTTTGCTAAGAGTGTTTTAATTTTTGGTGTGAAAAATTATATATAACCTTTATCATTGCAACCTTTTTACTTTTTGTCGTAACAGTTTTGAATCATGTAGTTAACTATCTACCCTGTTGTGCCAGCACTATTCCTCTCTTCAACTCTTCCAACTTTCAAACCAAAACTCTGTACCCATTAAATTGCAACTCCTTAGCAAGATGCTGGTGGCTCATACCTGTAACTCTAGCTACTCAGGAGGCTGAGATCTGAGGATCTCAGTTTAAAGCCAGCCCTGGGAGGACTCATCTCCAGTCAACCACCAGAAAACCAGAAGTGGCACTGTTGTTCAAAGTGGTAGGCACTAACCTTGAGTGAACGAGCTCAGGGATAGCACCCAGGTCCTGTGTTCAAGCCCCACAAAAAATAAAATTGCAGCTCCTTTCCTGTTCTTGCCCTCCTGCCAGCCCAGCAACCACCAATCCTACAAATTCAATCACCTATGGATCAAAAATATTTATAGAGGGAAAATTATACCTGTATTGGCCATGTACAGATGTTTTTCCTGTAAACAACAGTATAATAACTGCTTAGGTGGTATATACATTGTATCAGGTATTTGGATCCTTCATAGGATATAAAACCTACAGGAATCTTATGTGAATGAGTTCTTAAACATCTTTGGATTTTGGTATCTACTTTAGAGTCCTGAAACCAATCTCCTGAAAATACCAAGGGAGAGCTATACTCTTGAGTGTTTTGTTTTGTTTTGTTTTGTTTTTGCTGGTCCTGGGGCTTGGACTCTGGGCTTGGGTTCCGTTCTTGAGCAAAAAAAAGCTCAGGGACAGTGCCTGGTCCCTGAGTTCAAGCCTCAGGACTGACAAAAACAAAAAACTGTAAGTTAATTGTTCTTAAGTAATTTCAGACCATGAAGGTGAGACTTTCCAAAGCCCAACAAGTTGTTCAGTGGTTTCTATGTGTTGTTGCAGAATGAGCAGGCATTTGACGAAGTTTTCCAGAATGCCAACTTCCGAACTTTCACCTTCAGAGTCAGGGTCAAACTGGAGACCTATAATGTAAGTCAGGCTGCTGAGGATTGGGGATGGGGTGAGGGGTGGTTAGCGATGGGAAGTCGCCCTTTATTGCCTGCAGCAGCCTTCTAGAATTCTTGTCAGTGAATTGCCTACTTCCATGCCAATTTGAGGTGCCATTACGAACCTCACTTGCAGATGAGGAAATAGATTTAGAGGTTCTGTGTCTTATCTGAATATGTAGAACATGTAGAGGAAATGCTCTGTGGCTTTCTTTGTTGGAGAAGAGGAAGTTGTATGTTATACCTATAATCTCAGCACAGGACATAGCAATGGAGGATTGTGCTACATAGCCGGACCCTGTCTCAAATTTAGAAAAAAATAAATAAACTAGTATTTTTTTTTTTTTGGTCTGTGAACTGACAATGTATATAGTGTGCCGCAGACTTTCTCTGCCTGCAAGTTTAGGTTTTGAAGATCGTATATGAGTTCAAATTATGTTGAAAATTTCTGCAGTGGTCTGTGGTGACCCAGGTAGTCAGAATGGGCAGCATTTAGCGGGCACTATGGGATACATGTGTCTCACTGGTCCTCACAGCACCTGTGGGTTGGCACTGTCCTTATCCCCATTTTCTCGTGCAGAGAACAAGAATGAGCCTGAGCTGAGTCGTGCTACCAAGTAACCAAGCTCAGGCTCCTGCCCAGCCAGCCTGACTTCCAAGCTTTGCTCTTAACCACACTAGTAAATAGCAGCTCCACCCCACTTCCAATCCCTTCCCCACGCCAGCCACTGGGCTGAAGTGCCTTGTCTTCTAAAGACACCCCACAGTCCACTCATGGACTTTCTTGCTTGTGCTGGCTTTAAAACGAGATCTTAAGATTTCATCCTCCTGAGTAACTAGGATTACAAGCATGAACCACCAATGTCTGGCTTGGCTGAGCTTTTTCTTGAGCGGAAGACAGCTTTCAGAGTTAGCTTTGTGGCTTTCTCAAGTTATTTACCCTTTTTGGCTCCTGTTTGTGCCTCTGTAGAGAGAATTAAGAGATAGGAACACTCTCCAAAATCTTTTCCTTTAAGATCTTAAGTCTCTGGGTGTTGGGAAGCTGAGGACAAGAGAAAGAATCTGTGAAGTGGGGATCTGGCTGTTGTCCCAGCAGCGGGAATTCTGGGACAGGCTCCCACTCGGGGTGTTCTCTGGGAATTACTAAACTGAATGCAGCATGTGCTTCGTCCTGCTGGGCTGGTTGGAGCCACTGAAGCAAAGAAGGTTATCACCACTGCTCCATGCTGGGGCTGTCATCATCCCTCACAACCAGCTTTTCTTTTTTCAAAGGACGAGTCTCGAATTAAGGCCACTGTGATGGACGTGAAGCCTGTGGACTACAGAGAGTATGGCCGGAGGCTGGTCACACTCATCAGGAAGAATGCCCTGCTGTGAGGAGAGCAATGCTTATGGGACAGAAGTTTGAGGTGGAATCTTCTTCCTGCCCCCATGTGACCCCCACACCCTCATCAGTTACACAGGAGCCTCTTCATGGTGGACAGTTTCTTCTGTGTACCTCTTGGGATGCATTGGTGGACAAAGGATATGCTCAGAGGGCTGTGGTATAAACTGTCAGACCTGGAGGTCAGCCAGCAGGTAGCATAGCCCTCCTAGCCCCTCCCTTTTGACTTCAGATTTCTGTCAGATTTATTAAGAATTCAAGCAAGAATTATGTCAAGAAATTGACCCTCCCTACAGACAGTGAAGTAAATTATGTCACTTGAGTTTTGCTTCTCCAGTACTGACACCTTCACAACTTGGGTCCTTCCTGGGAGGAGGGAGTGGGGAACTGAGGTGTTGATTAAGTGTATCTTCCTGGAATTCAGAGGCTCACTCTTTCTACATTTGCCACATGGTTGTTAGTGCTTGGAATGGCAGTAGAGTAGAATTATTAATCAAAGGCCTATCTTTTATATCTGAAGACTACCCTTCCTTCAGGGTTTAATAGATTTAATAGACTAAGTCAGAAGGGTCTGATATTAATCAAAATTGTCTCTTCTGAGGATGGCTGATAAGCATTGACTTGCTGTCCCCTGGGGACATCCAGGCAACTACAAAGCATTGCTTGGGTTTTCACTTCAATTAATGTTGCATTTTGGTTGGCGAAGGCACACTTTTTGTACCTGTACATACTTCTTGCATTTGTGTGTTTATTTCTTGATTAAAGCTCGTTAAGTAGAAAAGATTTTGAAGGGAGAGACGCTCCCCTTGTTTCCCTTACTTTGTTTTAATAAACAGTATGTTCTTTGCTTGTGAATTCTACTTTCTTTGAATGCAAAGGGTTCTTGTAACTGGAAAGCAATTAATTAGTCTTCATAATAAATGTTCACTTGGGAGAAATGTTAACTCATTACAGACTCAGAGATTAGTCTGAGATTACTAATGTTTGTAACCCTGAAATACATCTTTCAAAGAATGAAAACACCAAAAAAGGAAAAACCATTGTGCCCAGCAATGCTGATGATCTAGCACTTTGGGGTTTTATTGATGTTTACACAGCAGTCTAACACCAAGCAGGCTTTGAAATGTGTACAGACAGTGAGCGAGTAAGAAAACAGTAATTATGCTACTGGGCTTTTCAGTCAGCAAGAGCATGCTTGCTCTGTGTGTTCCTAATCATATTAATTATCTGGTGGGTTGCTGCAACCCACTGCTTGGCATTTGCTGCACATCTCTCCAAGCATCCCACTATGACAGGCAGTGTTGCAGTGCGGCTGCAGGCCTACTTTCTAACTGGTGTGAATAGAGCCTGGGGAGGCTCATGGCTGCCAACCTTCACTGTTTGACTGATCCTGTCTTGTTTGGTTTTTGTGCTGATATTTGGGCTTGAATTCGGGGCCTGGCCACTGTCACTTAGCTTTTTCTGCTCATGGCTGGTGCTCTACTCCTTGAGCCACACGTCTACTTCTAGCTTTTTGGTCTCAAAGATTTTCCTGTGCTGGCTGGCTTTGGACCACAGTCCTCAGATTCCAGTCTCCTGAGTAGTTAGGATTACAGATAGGAGCCAATGATGCCTGGCTTGTTTTTTTGTTTTTTGTTTGTCGTGGGGCTTGAACTCTGGGCCTGGATGCTGTCCCTGAGCTCTTCAATTCAAGGCTAGTGCTCTGCCACTTGAGCCACAGCATCACATCTGGTTTTCTGGTGGTTAATTGGAAATGAGAGTCTCATGAACTTTCCTACCTGGGCTGGCTTTGAACCTCAATCCCACAGATCTCAGCCTCCTGAGTAGCTAGGATTACAGGTGTGAGCCTGTTTTGTTTTGAAGCAGGATCATGCTCTGTAACCTAATCTCAAACTTAGTGTGTGACTTGGGCTGACCTCAGACTCAGGATCCTCCTGCCTCAGTCTCCCAAGTGCTAGAGTTACAGATGTACAGCACACTGGCTCGTAATTGTCTTCTTTAGGAAACAGCTAGTTAACCCTAAGTAGGGGATGGCTCCCATGACTGCAAATCAAACAGACCTGGAGCAGCTTTCGTTCTTTCAGACCTACTGACTGTGGATAGTCTTCCTTACCCTTCCCTGGTCTCAGGATATGTGACTCGCATTGTGCTTGATTCTCTGACTGAAGCCTCAACAATTTCTATGGAGGCTCTTTTCTCTCTGACCTTGCTTATAAAATGTTGACTAGAAAATTATAGTCTTCAGTGCTGTTCTGGATTGACAAATTGTGGGTTGGAGGTGGTAATCTAGCTTTCAGTCCAGTAACCAGTCTTTCATACCTCCTCTTTCTCCATCCCCAGCATGGGCCATGGGAGAATTGACTCACTGTGATATGAGGGCAGATCTTGAAAATGACCACTGGGCCCATCCCTATGCTTTCTCAGTATCCACTGAGGAAACCAGCATAGCTCCATGGGTGTGACTAGAATAGGGGGGTTTAGGAAGGAGGGGCTCCCTTGAAGGAGGATGCTTAACAGATTTCCCTACTAAAACATCAGATCACCTGCAGAGCAGCCCCAGAAATTGGCTCCACAGTTACGCTTTTAAGAGATTCAGATCCCAGAGGATTGTCTTAAGTAGATTCTGGCCCACAGTTCTTAGAATTCTCTTGGAGATAGTTTACCTCAAAAGGCTGTTCCTGTTGTTCTATTTCTCATCTTGCACTGAGAGATCAATGTTTATCTTGCATATATGATGACATCAGCATTAAGCAATGAAGGGGTAAAAAAATCTAATCATTTCGCTTTTATTTTAAATGGCTCTTGAATTCCCTCTCGTCTTATTGTGAAAGGCAAAGCAAAAACAAAACAAAACAAAAACCAACAACAGTAATAATCTGATTTCTGTCTATATTTTCAATGTTTTATGCTTTCCATTAAAGTCTTGCTAATCTCTAGTGTGCTATTCTGACATTTTGAACTGCAGGGTCAAAAGTATCCTCTCCCCCACTTTTTTTTTTTCTCTGAGTGGCCTGTCTTCGAAATGTATAAATAATATTGATCGTGGTATTTAATACGCTAATGAAACCCATGATTATTGACTACATAATTAATATACTGTCTAAAAGTGAAGTTTGGCAGCCCAGTATATAAAGGTTTATATTGACTTGTGTTTCTTGGACCATAAGCCTGCCAAGGTTTTATTTATAGAAAATGAAACTGGTTGCTCAGCCTCCTTTCTGCTTTGTACTTGTAGGAAAGCCACTGTCCCCTCTTAAATGGATTCTTTCCTTGTCTCAGAGGCAGTTTCTCTTACTTTAATTCTGCATCTTTTTGTTTTGCTTTGTTTTTGTGTGCCAATCCTGGGGCTTGAACTCAGAGCCTGGCCACTGCCTCTGAGCTTTTGTGCTCAAGGCTAGTGTTGTGCCACTTGTGCCACAGGCTCCACTTCTGGCTTTTTAGTGGTTAATTAGAGGTAAGAATCTCACAGGTTTTTGCTGCCCCAGCTAGCTCAAACCTCAATCCTGAGTAGCCACAGTTACATTGTGAGCTCCCAGCCCCTGCCTAATCCTACACTTTTTTTACATGGCATAGTGGCTCTTACTCTCATATGTATATGTGTATGCTGGTACTGGGGCTTGAACTCAAGTCCTCATGATCTTCCTTAGCTTTTTTGCTTAATGCTAGTACTCTACCACAGCTCCACTTCAGATTTTTTTTTTTTTTTGGTAGTTAATTGGAGATAAGAGTCTCATGGATTTTCCTGATGGTTTCAGGTTGCCATCCTTACTTCTCAGCCTCCTGAGTAGCTAAGATTTTCGATGTGAGCCATTAGGTTGATAGCTCTTACTTTTACAATCCTCTCTGTATGTAGAATACTGGCTCTATAAGCATCTTTGGAAATAATTGTTTTCTCACAGGAAAGAAAGTTTAGATGTTATTTTCATATTTGCTTGGGAGGAAGAAAAAAGCCTTTGCCATGTCAGTTTATTATGCATCTGATGTTAAGTATTGTTCATTGGTGGGGAGGGAGATTGGTGTATGTGTGGGTGCTCTCCCTGAGCTTTTGTGCTCAAGGCTAGTGCTCTACCACTTGAGCCACAGCTCCACTTCAGATCCCAATCTCCTGAGTAGTAGGGTTACAGGTGTGAGTCACCCGCTCCCAGCTCATTTTTTTTTAAAGAAAAGATGATTTGAATCATTATTTCTTCTGCAAGTAATCCATATTCATTAAAAAATAATTTTTAAAAATCACCCATAATCCTACTAACCAGCATTAAGCACTTTTAAGCCATATCTGTTTTTATAAAAATACAAGGGAAGGGGCTGGGAAGGTGGCTCAGTGGTAGAGCGCTTGCCTTGCATGCATGAGGCCCTGGGTTCGATTCCTCAGCACCACATAAGCAAA